TAATAAATAGTATTTTGAAATTCATTAATATATCAACAAATTAAGAAAACCAATAGTCATTAATAAATTTTAGTTATAAATGTTATTACAATTTAATTGCATTACAAAAGAGATTTGTATTAAACTGTTATAAACAATTTTAATTTTGGAATATATATTTAAATAATTAAATATTGATATTACAATAAATGCCATACATTTTTGTATACAATTTATGTTTAAAAACTAACTTTGTGTCAATATTCTTAATATAAGAATGGCTTATTCTAAAATATATTAAAAATTACAAAAAAATGTTTATATGAATTTTTTGAATTTATACAATTAACAAAATTCTAAATAATAAATTGTAAAATTATAATTTTCAAAATAAAATGCAATTGATTAGTAAATTTTATAGATGTTGACATTAAAGAAACATTTTTTTTCATTTATTACACACATTATTTACTACAAATAAATTTATATTCTATTTAAAATTCAAAATTCCTATAATTTTTAAATGTTTAATATTCTTTATATATGAATGTGTTATTCTTTATATATGAATATGATTAAGTGAAACTAATTTATATAACTGAATTTATATTTTCTTTTAATTTTTGTTTACGATTTTTATAAATTTAATCAAACTATGTTATCAGTATTACAAAATTTTAATTTTTTTCTTGAATAATGTGAAAATTAAGTAATTCAAAATATCTATAATAATTTGAGTTGTAGATCAATAAATTAGATTACATCTACTTTTTATCTAAAACATGAAAATATTTTTTAAAAGGAAATATAATGAGAAAATGAATTTTATTTCAATATTGAAAAAATTTTATTTTTAAAAATTAACTGATAAACATTACTGGAAAAGTTGTGTAACATTTATTAAATACATGGTTCATAAATTTCAGTTTTATTTTTTTGCTAAATTATTTTATAATTAATTTTAAACTAACTTTTATTTAATAAAATATTGAATATAAATTAAAACATTCACAATTTTAATAGATTCAGATATCATATTAATAGTTTATTTTGATAAAAAAAAACAACTAATTTTTTTGCATAAAAATCCAATAAAGTTCTAACTGCATCATAGGATTATCAATTTATTCTACTTTTATAGACTTTTATGCCCATCAATTAAATCATCAGGAGTCGTTGAGGATAAATATGTAATTGTTTGATTGTTTTAAAATATCAGTGTTCAGCAATGAATACCCATTGATATTATTACACTATTTTTTTTAATAATTATAAAGCAAAGTTGAAATAAAATACTATATTAGATTATAAATACATCAACTTCAATTCTGCTACTACATTTACACTTTTATTTCTAGCTATATGTTTGGAGTTAAATATTGCCTATTATTGTTTTATATTTTTATCATATTGCAAAACTTTGTATTAATAAATTCTTTGACTTAATTAACACATAGGATTTTTTAAAATGTAGTTTTATTGTAAGTTTTATAATTATTTATTTAGTTAATGTAAACGACATCAAATCAATAGTATAAGAGAAAATAAAAAATTATTAATTATAGGTTATATAACTTTTTTGGAATATATTTAAATATTTTATTAAACAATATATTTAATATAATAAGAACCAAGTAACATTTTAGTTATTTTATTACTAAATTAGACTAATATAATATAAAATATTTAAATTAAAGCGGGGAATCTAAAATATTAGTTGCGCCACCTTTAAAAATAATAAGCTATCCGGAATGTGATCTTTAAATCACACTGAACGTTATACGTAACTCTATGTTCAATTTTTTCTACATTTTCCATCTATAAAACTACTTAAATCAATTTTAAACAATTACTAATTTATAGTAATAAAAATGTGGTATTAGATTCAAGCAACATCGTTATCTTTATCTTACTGCTAAACTGTGTTTTTTCTAAGAATCAGTAAAGTCTTAAACATCGAAAAAAAATATTGTATTAAACAGCAAACCAATATACTCAAACATACAAAGCAACAATATATAAATATTTTTACAATTCATTAGTCGTATAATTATAAGTATTTTTAAAAATAATATTTATGTTTTATGTTATTTATGTAAAATGATAATTAGTAAATATAGTTAGAAAATTATAACCTAAAAAATAAAAACATATTACTTGATTATTGAGCATTTTTTGTAAATTGAGTAACGTTTAACTTCATATTTTTTATTTAATATAATTAAAATGAGTTCAAGATTTATTTCCGAGACTGAAATTACAGAACAACGGAAAAGACGACAGGAAGAATGGGAAAAAGTTAGATCAGTTGATCAACCTTTAGGTTAGATTCAAAATCATTTTAAAATAATGTTCATTATTTTACTTAAGATTTGTTACTTTAAACATATTTGATTTTATTTTGGTCATTGTATATAGAAGCACCCGAAGAAGTTTGTGATTCAAGATGTTTATATGATAGGTTGCAGGAACAGAAAAATAAACGGGATTCAGAATATGAAGAAGCACATAAACTCAGTATGAATTAAATATTATTTAGCTAATTAGTTTTAGTTTTATTTAATATTATTTAAATAGAAATTAAATTATAGTAAAAATTTTTAAGTTCCTCATTATTTAATAATGAAAATAAAATTGTTCAATATTAAAACTAAATTATTACAATTTTTATTTCAATATAATAAATTAATTTTTTTTTATGAATATATAATTAAAAAATAATTTTTAAACAATTTACAATTACAATGTATATTGCTATTTATATTAAAATTTTGCAATTTAATAATTAATTATTATAAAAATAATATAGTTAAATAATCATTATTTAAATAGTTTTATTTTTATCATTGTATATGAAGATTTTTATGTTATATCATCTATTATATTTTTGATATTTTTAATAAATATATGTTATATATATTGATATGTATAATTTATTATTTTGTAAATTTTTTAAAGAAAATATAATTAATTATTAAGAATTATAGAATATAAATATTGATTATAAATTTATTGTTATTATCTATCAATTTGTTTAATGTTATTATAGAAAATATGATAAAAGGTCTTGATGATGATGAAATAGAATTTCTTGATTTAGTTGATAGAACAAAAATTGAAGAAGAGCGTAAAAAAAATTTAGAAGATGAAAAAGAAATGAAAGATTTTAAAGCAGCAGTTGCTTCTTTGCAAGAAAAATCTATAGATGAAAGATTAAAACAAGAACTAAAACAACCCCATAGTAATAATAAATCTACAGCTTCTGGGTAATCTAATAAATATATAAATATATAATTCTTAAATATAAATGAAATCTAATTTTGTTTTAGAAATAAAAATTCCCAGTTACGATTATTGGCTGGAGTGATTGTAAAAAAATCTATCAAAACAGAAAATAGTAAGTACATAAACATTCATATAATTTCTAATTAAATAAATAGATAAAATATAAAAAATTAAAACTCCATAATTTTTTCAAGTAAAGAATTTATTTATCATTACCAATTATGGTTTATTTTAATGTGAATTGTTCTTAAATTTGAGATACAAATCACATCTTTTGGTTTCTAATTTTTTTATAAAAATTTACTTGTAAAATAACTATTTAATATTGATATGGATAATTAAATCAATGCAAAAATCAATATTAATTATTTGACATAGCGTTTACTATTTCAAATATATTAAAATTTGTATTTTTTATATAGAGTTTATTAATTCAATGCAAGGAACAAAAAGAAGACTTTCTGAAGTAGAAAATAGTATTACAGAAAATAAATTAGATGACTCACAATGTTTTGTAAAAAATCCTCAATTAGAAACTGGTGCCCTCAAGTGTATAGCAATATTACCAGGTTTGGGTTCTTATGATAATTCAAGTGACAGTGAGTGCAGTTCAGATGAACAAGAATCAGAATGTAAACAAATAAAATTAGATATTTTAGGTCGTCAGATTTTAGAGCCTAAAGCCAAGGAAGATAATTAATTATTGGTTAAAATTTATTTTTAATATAAACATTTGTAATTAAAATAAGAAATTAAAATATTTTAATTTTTTAATGTTTTAAATATTGATCATTTTTAAAGCAACTAAATTAGAACATTTTAATTGAAATAAAATTAAATTTAAGATAATTTAATCACTATATTTATAATTTAAAATAATGTAATTCACATAAAAATGGATACACATAAAAAATATCTTTAAAATTTTTATTTAACTGTATCTTGTACAAATAATTAATGTGTCTCTTGCCCCAAAAGAGAGAGTTGTTTAAGAAATTGCCTGGCATTTGTAAGTGTAGTTGAACCATAAATAATCCGTTTATTTGTAACACCTCCATTCTTTTGCTGAAATAATGAATAATTATTTAATGTAGTCATTTTTTCAAATCACTTATAAAATGATTTTTAAAATAATCGGTTTAGGTATTATTTGTAAGAATTGTATGAGTTTTATATTTTAATAATTTAATAACCAAATTTATTAAAATGTTAATTATAGCTCAAGTGAACATCATCATATGTATAATTAAAATGAATATATTATAAAAAAAATGTTTGATAATGTATTTCAATTCAATAAGAAATGTTACTTTAAAATAATTACCTTCACATAATCCATTAAGTTTTGATATTCTATGTAATTACCACCTCCAACAATGAAAACTATTGCATCTTGAAATACTGTTCGATTCTTAGGAACTTGGTCTGAATGTTTTAATTGTTTAGGATCAAAGTAATAATAATCATCAGTTTGTAAAGATTGTTTCATTTCTATTAGTTCATCAACTATTCTAGTAACAGGTAAATTCTGAAAATATACTTATATTGGACTAATTTTGTTATTAATTAATAAAAGAAATGAAAATGTATAGATATACTTGTTTTATTTTAACTTACATGTCTTTTAATAACAAGATTTTTAACACCTTCCATTACAAAAGAAGAACCTTGGTTCATTAACTTAGAAAACATACTAACAGTTTTTGTACCACCACCTTCATAGCTGTTTTGGACACCTGTCATTCTCATATAATTTCTATAAGTTTATAGTCATATTTTACTTTATTCATAGTCAATTTAAAAATATATTGTATATATTAAAATAAATTTTAATATTTACCTCCATCTTTTAAGATACGTTAATGGACTTAAATCACACCCAATGTTCAGTAATGCTACTTCATGTTTATTATATTCAGCATCAGTTAAATTTATGCAAAGATAGTAAATAATAAAAAGACGTAATTTATCTTCAAGTACACCACAATCTGGATCATTAATTACATCTAAAACACTTCTATCTAACGTTTGCTTACTCATAATTTTTTCTTCAAGTTCAAAAAAAGTATCTAACCGGCGAAATTTTATCGAATTCAATATACCTACAGCAATAAAATAAAATTATATAAAATATGTATTATAACAATTAATATTATTCATTTACCAGTTGCTACAGTTGTATGCATATCAATCAAGCGTTTCATTTCCAACAATTGGGGTAAAGAGTTTATAGCACTAGTTAACTTAGCTGTGTTATCTGAAACCATTGATACTGCAGCATCACTCCCATTATCTATACCCTAAAAAAATTATAGATTTTTAAAATGATTAAAAATTAAATTGTAAAAGTTATCCAAGTACTTTAAAATTTGTAATTTATTATTAGATTTACTATGATATTAAATTAAGTATTATATAGAATGTTTTAGTTAATTTTTATTATTTAATTGAAAATAATAATAAAAAATAATCTCATTTTATGCAAATATTATGTACAGAAATATGTATTGTAGTAAGTACATTAATATTGATATTTATAAAAAATTTTAAAGGATTTATAGATAATAATATATTATAATGTTACATAATATAATTATTTTTATTATAATCATAATTATTGTTATATAAAAATAATATTGTAAGTTTCATATTTAAAGCAAAGAATTAAAATGATACATATATATATGAAATTATTGCTGGTTTTCAATTAAATACTGATATAAAATTATTTACTTTATAGAATTTTAAATATATATTCTTACATAATTTACAATATAACAAACTAAATAAAAATGTTATTACTTTATATCATTTATACAGACCATAGACGATTTTAACTTTTTTACTTTCTGTTCAAAAGAACGATAATGTTCTAATTCCTCTTGAATTGCTTCAGCAACACGAGGAAAGGGACTACCTTTATGCATTGACCAAAATTTATCCGAACTATCAAGTTCACAGGCTCTGGTCTTAGAACGTGCTCCTCCTGTCGGTGACTTGCCTGCACTCTCTTCCACAACAAGTCTATTTAGAGATAATTCCAACACATCGTGAGCTAGTGCCTGATAAGTCCATGTATGATGAAATGCAGTTGCCATATCTACACTGCGATCCAAAATTATCATTACTGGTCTCTGAAAACTGAATACAAAAAGTATTTTACATTTTAATAGTAATAGGGCTTAAATTAATATAATTTCATTTCATTATTGATTTAATAGTAGAAATAAATAAATGAAGATAAGAATATTTTATAAAAATTAACAATGTAAAAACTATAAAAACTAAAATCTGTAATATTTTTACTATAAAAGGACTGTATTAGAAACATTAATAAAATGTTGATATATTATTTGGCTTAAAACTAATTTTAAAAACTACAGTGTTACATAAAAAATTATTGAAAAATAAATATTTTAACAAAAAGTATTTCGATATTATATTTATTATTTACCTGAAATAATTAGTCCTAATACCTTCACCTTGAAATAATGTATTTCTAGAGTCCCAGATATTTTCTCTTAATTTTGTATCAAGCTTTCTAGAGACCATTTCTGCAGCGTTACCTCTAGGACACCTAATAATAGGTACAGTTCCTAATGTTACAAAGACTGAAAAAAGGCTGTCTACAATAATATCCATTAATAGATCCATCTCGGTATCTTTTATTTCTCCTCGATTTAAGGCTACATAAATGTTTATTATAATTAAAAAATTTAAATGTTAAATATACTTAATTTTAAATATTAGAAAATATTGTAGTTATATATTCATTTTTTTTATTCATTTAACGATTTATTTCTATTTTTATGATTCATACCATGATAAGAAATGATATCGCTATGTTGATGACGTAAAATGAAAAGATCATCTTCTAATGTAATAAAATCAAGATATTGGTCAAATACCTGAAAGTAAATTATTAAGAAAATATGAAATTAGAGATTTTTTGTTTATTATTAATTTTTCTTAAACTATTATACTTTATGAATATTAGCAACTGCTCCAGCCATCAATGCAGCAGTAGCTAAGTCTTCCATTCTATGTCTTAATATTGGTGATATAAAATTCATGTGATAAACATCATACAAGTTATTTTGTAAATCTTGACCAATACGTACAATATTTTCATCAGTTGGAGCACAAAAATAAATTGCTGGAACTTCAGGTATTGCATCTCTATCTGTATGTAATTGCCTGTAAAATTGAGAAAAGTTATAATAAAATTTGTTATATCTTTATTTATAATATTTTTCTCCTATAAACAATGGGATAATATATTAATTATTTACAAAATTTATTTATAGATTTATAAAAAAAACAATTTTTATTAAAACTTATTATATATTTAAGTCATACATATGAAGAGTAACTCCAAGTTCTCTAAGTTCCTTTATTGATATTAATGGAGATATAATATCTTGCCCTAGGCGATCATAAATTAACACTTTCCAAACAGGTATTGCTCCTTCTGGCTTTAATTCAGGATCATTTAAATTTATCATTTGTTTTAAAGCTCCTATAACAATATGCACTTAATAATATATAAAATTTATTAATAAAATATGTCTATGTAATTTATATAAAACTATAACAACAAAAATATAATATAATAATTTAATTTGTTTTATTCAAAAATTATTTTATATATAGAAATATAAAATTAAAATAAATTCAGTTAATATAATTATTACATTTTAGACATCATAAAAATAGATTTTAATATAAATTTAGTTAACAAGCATTACAAGATTATAAAAGTAGTATTTTATTTACATTTATAGTAATTATAGTATAAAAAACTATAATAGAACTATAATATACAAATTTGAAACTAATTATACTTATTATAAATATAATAAATATGTATGAATTAATTAAAGTTAAACATTGAATAAAAAATTCCACAGTTAATTTACCTATTTGCTTTTCTCGAAGATTCGTCATTTTTTCTAATAAATTTAATATTATATACACAATTTTAAACAAAATAACAAATTAAGACATATGGAACATAAATAACAATGACCATAGGTAATAATATAAAAAACATGACGTTGGAACCATTGACTATGCAATGATAAAAGATAACATTCGATTTAAAAAAAATTTAATAAAATTGTTACAATTGAATAATTTTACAATAAGTTAATGTAGTTTTTACTTTATTTGAATGAAAAATATAATATACTTATAAATTCCTAATTAATCATTTATGTTTAAATAACTTATTTTAACGTAATTTACAGCGTCAAAAATATTTTTTGACGATACTTTATCCCAAGTATTGATTTTTAAATTTGTGTTATATACCTATTTAATCTATTTTGTCTCTGACTTTCAATTTCGAAAACAGATATTTTATTTTTAACCTTTTTGTTTACCCGAATATCTTTTCAACTTCTTTTTTTTTATTTTTCTCTCAAAATAGAAAACAGAAGGAAATATTATCGAGCCCGAATTCAATCTTATTAAATTACAATTTCAGAGTTATAATAAGGTGATAATTTATGAACAAATGGAAGGGCAAAAGTAATGTAAATGTAACAGGTAAATCAGAAATTACATTGTATCCAACATTGTACTTTTATACTTTTATATTCGAGCATAAGAAATGGCAGAAAATTTGGGTAAACGCCCCTCTAAGGGAATCTTGAAAACATCTAGTAGTTTCGATAACCAAGAAAATCCAAGGTAATGTTCTCAATCACTACTTACATTGCATTAATTTTTGTAGATTACTATAAATATAAATCTTTCATACTAACTCAATAAATGTATCATGTTATTCTACTACTTAATTATATTCCAATTTATGAAATCAAAAGCTACTAAATATTTTGTATTAATATTACATTTTTAGTTATCAATAAATATTACTTGTAATTTAATACAATGTTAATATAATGGAATATTTAGTGTTAAATATTGAATACTAATGTAAATTAGTAAAAATACTTGTGTTTGCTGTTGTACAGAATTAATATTTTACACAATATCAATATTTTTGAAGGGCAACAAAAGAAACAAAGTGGGATGAAATGAATATTATAGCAACATTACATCCAATGGATAAAGATTATGGTCATATGAAAATTGAAGAACCTAAAACTCCATATAACTTTGAAGGCATCAAAAATCAAAATGATTATCTTGATTCTTCTGCTGTATCATCAAAGTAAGGTTTTAAAATAAAATTAGAACAGTTAAGTAACAGGATACTTGAAATATTAGAATGTAATAAATAGAACATTAATAAATCATAGATGATTAATTTTTGTTGTCAAAATAAGTTTGATTAGTTTCTTATATTAATATATTATGTGTTTATTATGTAAATTAGTTTAATTAAATAAATATTTAAATTTTACGTGTTCATTTATAATTATTGAATCATCATTTGTTTATTATTTTAGATTAGCTCAAAATATAAAACCAAAAATATTTGAAGAATCAAGTGAAGATGATGATGAAGAGACACCAGAAGAAAGAGGTACAATATTTTTCATCACATAAACATGTTCGTATTATTAAAATTAATTTTAGAAGTTCAGGTGTGATAAAGCTTTTCTTAAAAGTAATAAAAATATAATGTTTGTTAATTTTAATATAATATAAGTAATATCATATATTTTTTCAGTTTTATAAAAATATTGCACTATTTTATTCTGTAATTAATGAATAAATTATATTATATAGAAAGGAGAAAAATATTTGAAGCAAAAAGAAAAGGTCATTATCGTGAATGGGAGGCTGTTCAACTTGCACGTAAAAAGCTTTTAGAAGAACAAGAGGAAAATGTGGAAGTGAAAGATGAAGCGGATGAAGAAGGTGAAGAGACTGAAAAAGAAGAAAACCTTGTGAGAACAAAAAATTTTCAAAAAACTGTGAAGATGACTGAGTGCGTGCCATTCAGTGACAATGAAACTAAATTGGAATAAGTGCCACAGTAATATATTTACATTCATATACTGATCCTTCCATTAAATTTCATATATAAATACAAAATATCTATAATTTTGTGATTTTAATATAATAATCTTCTATCTTCTATCTTCTAGATTTTAAACATTGTTTAAAAATTGTATATAAATATTTATATAATTTAGACCAAAAATTTGACATGTTTCAATTAACATTTTTTAATGTACAATTTAATTAAAAGGTTTTATTATCAAGTATACACTACTATTATAAAGTTCCAATTTGTTGCCAAAATGTGCCAGTTTTTTAAAAAAATAGTAGTATTTTTATAATCATTGTTGATTAGAAAATCAAGTAAAAATTCGAGTATGTAGCTAATTGGATATAAATATAATTTACTAAAATTAATAGAACTATTTAATAATATTATAAAATATTTTAGATAATTTTTTATTACAACCTTGAATTAATACTGATTTATAATTTAATTTATTTTTAAATTTGATTTAAAAAATTAAATTTAATTTATAATTTAATTTAATCGCATATGAATTATACATATAAGATCATGTAAATCTATATATACTTATACACAATATATGCACATTTTTTTAGAAAGTATACTCTGGACTTTACATTTAAAATTTATAATAAATGATTTTAATTTATTTTAACCGTTAAATATAATTTATTAGTTGATTTATAACAATGTGGAAGCATATACACTATATTTTTCAAATGAATCGAAAAATATGTGACTTTAAATAAATTTCATTTTAGTTGAAAAACATAAAATTCACAGTATTTATACTAGAGTGTAATTTTGAAATGATGCAATTGTGTAAAATATTTTATTGGTTTTGTTGTAATAATATAGTAATAGCAGTACAAATCTTATTTGTACTTAATATTAATATAAATGAGAAATCATACAAAACTTTTTTTTGGATATAAAAATTTCAACGTATTTAAATTAATATTTTTTACTTATTTTAAACTTTTTAAAAAATATTTTTATTGAATACTTAATATATTTATTTATTTTAACAGGATTAATTGTAATATAAAAAATATAAAAGTGACTGGACAGATTTACAAAGTGGCTATTGTATATGTGTAAAGAAAAAAATCTAAAAATAATGAGAAAACGTTAATTTGATTATTTTTAAATTTTGAAAATTTAAGTACATATTAAAATAAAATTTATTTAAATCAATTTAATTTTAATTCATCACTAATGTAACTAAAGGTAAATAAACAAATTTATATTTATAAAACTTCAGAATTTAATTTATTATTTGTTTTCAGAACATAAGTTTGATGTGAAGTTTGGTTCTATTGGTAATCGATCACCCCAACCAGTTCTTTTAGCATACTTATATAAAGATCTGAAAAAATATAAAAGTTTTAACAAATATTAAAATACATAATAACTAATTTAAAAATTTGTTTTTAAACTATATAATATATAGATAAACGGAAAAATTTTTAATATCAATAAATTTTTTATTATAATTATTTTATTTTTTTCTCTACTATGGAAATTATAAATATTTTTTACTTTTCATATTTCTTTTTAAAAACTATTTGTTTTAGTTGTCCATTTGATGTACATAAATTGCATTGAACATGATTCTTATGAATAATACTATTTCTTACTACTCGATACCAACTATCATTCTCTGTAGCTTCACCTAAAATTTTTAGATATATTAATATTAAATAAATTTAGTACAATCATTTAACTGGTTGCATTTATTATATAAACATGAAACTAAAAATATGGACTTTTTCATATTTTCCTTCATCATTCAATTATTGTTTTAAAAAAGATTAAAATACATTGAATTATATATATAAGACTAAAATATACTGAAATTATAGTAAATATTCAAATTATTTATAATACGCTTTTAGAATAAATATATAAATGATAAACATAAACAAACATAAGAAGTAATTTATAAAACAGTGATTATTGAAATATTTAAAACTACGTATCATTATTATATGCATACCTTTCTTAAATACTATGTATGAAAAAAATTCTAATTTATGTTTAGAAAAGCCTGAAAATTGCAGTGGTAAATATTGATTTAAAAAATTACATGGAGTTCGATTTTCAATATACCTTGGACATTTATTTGAATGTGGACACTGAAAATTAAATACAATTAATATATAATATAGCATAATTGATTTACAATAAAATATTTTATACATAACAATATTTTACAGATATAAACATGAATTTTATTTAAAAAAAAAAACATTAACTGTATTAACAAAAATTATTTCTCTTAAAGTAAGTAATGTATAAATGATTAAAATAAATATACATTCAATAGTATAATATGAAATTGTTTTTATATAGCCCTTTAAATACAGTAACTTAATAAATATATATACTGTTTAAATAATTCGAATTTAATTTGAGAATAAAAAAAATAAATAAAAGCCCTATTCCTATAAGAGCAATGATTCAATCAGAAAAATTATTTTTATACTTAATCATTAAAAAAAAAAGAATATGCATAAATTATCGTCTAAAAAATATGCTGAACAAAATAGTGAAATAAATACTTTCTAAGTCCACAATTTTCATTAATATAATAATTTATTGATAAAAATAAACAAGTATTAGTTATCTTACAGGTGCAAAAATGAAGTATTTTTCCTGAATATTTTTATTTATTTGATTAATAAATTCCCGAGCTTCGTTTATAACCTATTAACAAAAACAAAAAAATTAACATTTTTATTTAAAAAAAAAATACGAATTAATAAAAAAACATAATTTCCTTGAAACCATTATTTGTGCCCTGTTCAACAATAACTAAATATTTTCTAGTTTTTTTCCATAACTTTGTTATCACTTCTAAACGTTGCCTTGTATTTGGTAATTCCATAAAAGAATATGCACTTACAATAAGATCATATTTTAACTAAAATTTTAAATAAACACTAATTAGATTTAAATAATTAAATTAAATATTTAATGTCATATTTATTATATATTGAAGTTCTCACATTAGACACAGGAAGATATTGGCGATGAAAAACATCTTTTATTTTTAAAGGTGATTTTTTTATAATTCTTTTAGAAAGCTCATTCATTTCATTGGAAATATCTATACCCATGTATTCATTAATATTTGTCCAAGTTTGCATTGCAACCCTATATAAAATATTTATGTTTAATCAATTAATGAAATATTGGATTTGTAAAAATTTTTTAATAATAAATTTTTATTATAACAAACAAAATTTGAAATATGAGTTTTATTATTAAGGTACTCATATTTTCATTGTGTTAAATTTAATATTTATAAAATACTTTGAGTTCATATTTATAATTTAAATTATCAAATTAAAATATATTTCTTGTATTTGACACTTTTTTTACATGGTATAACATAAAATTATACAAAAAGTTAAAAATAATTTTTTTTTTACTGAGGTTAATTTCAATCAATCCATTGATGGAAACTATTGGATTATCAAATTTTGTAGTTGTTCAAACTTCGGTCTTCCAATTTATACTATATGAATATATATATATATACAGATTAATTTTATTGTTTACCACAAAGTAGATCCAACTCCAGATCCAAAATCAAACATTGTTTGTGGATTAAAAAAAGCATCTCTAGCCTTTATTTCATTAAAAATTGTAGTTAACACAAAATACTCAGGTATACTACGAGTAGCCATATATATTAAACTTTTAATATTATTATATTCTATTGGTTTCCAAGCATACACATTGCTCTTTAATTTATGTAATACCTTTCCCTTAAGTAATTTGCGTTGTGTTTGAAATTCTTCTTCTAATAAATCTTGTCTTTCATTATTTAATTGTAATAATTTTTGTTCTATATTCAAGTATTTTTTATTAATTTCTGTATGTTCTAATGGAAGTTGTCTACTAAATAAATAATTTGCTAATTTTATACTTTCTTTATAAATTTCATTTCTATTAATTTCTATATTAAATATATGTGATATTGTTAAAGTACAATAATTAATAAAAATTATATAATTTTAGTGATATAATAAAAATGAAATAGTTATACCTTTTATATTCAGCTGTATTAGTTCAATAATCCATTTTGGTACTTCAATATTTTTTTTTATGATTCCTGGATGCTTTTTTGGCTTAACTTCTTCATTTTCTATTAACTTTTGTATTTCATCTTTTAGTTTATACTTTGTATTTGTTGAACTCTAAACAGTTTACAACGTACATTTTATTATTTCTATGTATAAACTTGATCATTTATATTTTAGAATTTTATATTACCCATTTTAATTGCAAATTAAAATTCAGTTTAAATATCTTAAATAAATTAGAAAATTTCATAATTATAATACTTTACAAATCTATTTTGTATTTATAAAACTTATTAATAACATTTTTTTTGTATTTATCGGGATTGAAGATTAGATATTTATTTATATGTGATATAACCTTTGAAATATCATATGTTCAGTTTTATTTAATTAATGTTGTATTAAAAATTTTGTTCTGAAATTAATATAAAAAATATTACATAAAAACAGAATTCTTTTATGCAACTTTTAATATGAAATATTAAGCACATTACAATTTATATTATTTGAATACATGAGTCCATGAACCACAGATGAATTAGATTACTGGATATGTTTAACTTGACGAATAAAAAATATCTTGAAATTCAGAATACTATATTTCAAATATTTTAAATATAAATTAATAATACTTTCTAGTCAATTTGTATATATCAAAACGTATAAATAAGTGCTTTATTAATATAATTATTAAAAATAATTATAATTACTATAAAGGAAATATTTAATGTGTAGCCTACTCGGGCTTGATAAAAGAGAAATATTGATTGTTATGAAATAATATTTACTAGCTACATTATTAGGTTATTAAGATTGATAGTTCATAATCGCATTTTCTTTACATGAAAATAAAAATTTAAAATATAGCTTATTCTTAATATTTAATATCCCTCATAATAATCAGTCATATAAAGATACAACATATTTTAATAAATAGTATATTTAGATTTTTAAATTAGAACATAGATAGTGAACCTACCGATTGTATAGACATTAAAAATTTAAGATGAAATCTTATAAAAATGCATAATTTAATATAGATTTCGTTTGAGTACATAAATATATATTGATAAAAATGATCAAATTTTTTTTTTAAATATATCATTTTTCTATTTATTTATAGGTAATAGCGAATATAAAATAAATGATTAATTATTTTAAATATTTTAAATATTTTATCATTCAATGAATATTATAACATTTATATTTATGTATTTCTTAATTTAAATTCATTTAAAATCATATTATATTAATTTATTTACTCTCATCATATAATTATCTCATCAATCGAAGCAACACACATATGATATAATGAAAATGAAATTTTCATTTCAGACCGATATTAAAATGATTAATTTTTTATTTGCAATATATTCATTACAATCATAGTCTAACAAAAATCAAAACACAAATTTACTGTTTGAAATATAATTTATAATCAATCACATAATCATTACTGTCAATAATTATATGATCAATAATTGTCTCTCATGGCTCGAATTTTACACTGAACATATCCTTGGAAGCCAATAAAGTTAAACTTTGACTAAATTTAGTCAAAATTAGATTATTACGTTCTTTTGTTGTTCATACATATTAGATTTGACTATGTCATGACTGTGACTATATCATTAAATTTTATTTCATTCGAAAAATATATGCTTATATATCTCCCTGTTAGATTTAATAATATTAATATATATATATATATATATATATCTACTTTTAGATTAAAACTTTAATTTTTATTTTTATAAATAATATAAAATTATTTATATATAATAAATGTTTTGCAATGGAAAAAAATAAAGTTAAAATAAAAATTTTTTATGATTCTATTAATTAAAAAAAATTGTCGTTTAAAATAATGTAAATAATTTAAATGCTTATTAGCAACTTATTGATCACATATAATTTTGTTTACAAAAATCTGAGATAGAATAAATGAAATTAAAAACGTAATTAAATTTTATAAATGAAAAAGTACTAGCCTTGATAAGAAGATGGAGTAAAATACTCAACTTAGTCACAAAATGAATATAATAAACATCTTTTGAGTCTTTATCTATGTATATTTTGTAGTTTATATATACCCTCAACCTTAAATCTTGTAGAACGTCGAATGGTTATAATCACGCGCGTGGACTTGGGCGGTTTGTTTTGTGTATTTATGTATATGTTCTTTCTTTTAAAGTCTGGTATTTTAAAAAGTAAAATCAAAAGGATAATTTACTGTCATCATGGCGAATTTTTCAGATGATACCATGGCCTCCATCAATTACTTTGATATGTAAGTTCTTTTTAGCTGGTGTGTTTCATAAGATTGGTAATATGTACCAAAAATTAACCTGGATCTTGTTAGCCTTTCTTTCACCCTTTATACGATTGGCCGTTATATTTACGCATTAATGAATGATAAAAGAACATAAAGATATTTAAATTCAGGTTAAAAAATCTACTTTTTCATTTACTCACAACTTTTGTATGATATTTATATAGTTCAAATGTTTAGTTTTTTTGAAAATATCTTTTGTATCTAAAGTTTTTTTCGTCTATTTAATTTTATTAACTAATTTTTATTTGTATATAAATTATAAATTCTTTTATAAAGAAGTGTTTTTATGAAACTTTACTTAATTTTATTTATACAATCATTTCTAATATACCTACTGAATTTTTATTTTATTATATTTAAAAGTGATTCGACTAATAATAATTGAAAATTATATGTGAATTATTATTTTTTAATAATTATAAGCATTCTAGATACATTATTTTTATTTACATGGTAGCTATTGTCAAAATATGAACAAAATAATTTTTTTTATTTAATTTATATAATTTTAATTTATTTTTTAATATTATATAGTATATTATTTATATTTATTTATAAATATTATTTCATACATGATTATATAATTTGAAAGTCAATCATTTTTATTAAATAATTATTAATTAATAAGTTTTTAATATTAAAATTAATTTAAAATCAAATAATTTAATACAAGTAAAAAAAGTATACTTCAAAGTAATTTAAGTATTTTAAACCATTTTTTGAGTATATGGCTTAGAATATTAATGAATTAATTTTTTAAAATAATTATCAAATATTATATTTTATATGAATTATTATTATTTTATGATTATAGATATTTTTTAAATAAAATGTATAAAAAATAAGATTGTTAAAGAAATTGAAATATTTATTAAATGATTTTAATTTAAAATTTATATTTTCATTTATTAAATATTTATAATTATCTAATTAAATATTTAAAAACTACATATTATTTTACACTACTATTTAATTTTTACTAATAAACTATTTGTAAAATATTAATAATATGTATATGGTAATATCTTGGTAGATATATTTGGTAGTGGATAGTATAAAAACCAATTTACCAGTACATATAACTCAAAAAGCATATTAAATTAAAAATTAAAATATATCTTGAGTATTATTTACAATACTGTTCTTTCATAATAAGTGGTATAATATAAGAGCCCAATATAATGGTTTGGAATAAAATTATGTGTTTATCCAATATTTACCAAATGTTCATCATCATAATAACGTCTGTATACATACATATATAAATTATATTTATGAAAATGGAAAAATAATTCATAGGTACTATAATTTATCTTTTAGTTATTCTGTAAATTAAAATTTTAATATATATTTTTTCGAATATTTTTTAGATATTATACAATAAACTTTTAATAAAGGCACTTTTAAAATATATAAATTGATATAAAAAAAATATCTTAATATACATTGAAATTTAAGTAATATTTAAAAAATTAATAACCAGCTTATAATGCATTTATATACAAATACATTCTTACACATTTTTACATTCATAAAAATGAATTATATTATACATTTTCAAATTTTAAATCTAGTTAATAGAATAAATAATTATGTTACCTGTACAAAATTAATTTTTTAGAATATTCATTGGAATTTGTAATTAAAACATTTCATTCATTTACAATATATATAATCATCTTTCTAGATTCTGATCAATTTGATAAAGGTTTTTGTTGTTATTCAGTGTAATATATACTCAATAATAAATTAAAATGAAATTGAACTATTGAGCTCTAATAACTCATTTATAATACACATTTGATCATTCTGTATTGTGGTTACCCTTACAAAATGTGAAAATGGATTAAAATTTTTAAGCATCTATGCATTAGAATATAATTAATGTTATATAAACATAAATACTTCATTATTTATATAACACATTTGTATGGAGTTATTTTCTCAAGGAAAAATATCAAATTTATATCTTTTTTATTTCTATGATTATGAATATTTTGGCCTCTACTTTAAACAATATTTTATTGCAATAAGTTTCATCGACAACACTAGCGTATGCACTAGACGATTAATATATTAACGCATTTATTTTATGTTAGTCGGTGTCCGTGTTTTAGCGAAAATACTGATTTTATTTCATTCTGATTAGAACGTTTCAAATAAAATTTATATTCTGAAATAGTGAAGTAACATTTTATATTTTGATAGATTGGGGTTACAATTAACTTTTTTTACTACCCTAAAAACTAATTATAGTATTGTGAAACTCCTATCTTTTAATATGTGAAAATTTTTTGGATAAAATTCTTGAATTAAATGAATCCATTATTATTTCTTAAAAGTTTTCATTGACTACGATGCATAAGTAATTGATATAAATTCAATTTAAAATTGAAAAATAGAAAATAAGTTTTTCCTCCAAATTTATCAATGTAATCATATATTAGAGAAACAATTATATTGATATAGCTTCATATTTGACATAAATGGGTGTTTACATAAAACGAGATGGGCCTGAATACAGAATTATTTTTTCGAATTTTTTTTTTTTTTTTTGATTTGTTAGTATTTTATTTAAATTATTTCGTTCATCTTGTGATAGGATATATTACTAACCATTTTATCGATATTATCAATAGCTATATATTACTTCATATTACTTTTACATCACTGAAATCGTATAAAATTTGCTTACATCTTTTATGTTTTAAATTAAGACACCTTTTTAGATTAATATTATTTTTTTATATTATTCGTTTCTTCACAACTAAATAACTTATTATCACTATAAAAAAGTTTTTCTCAGAAATTGAGGCTTGTATTTTAACATTATTAAAATTTGATACATTTTTTTTATTTTGAATACTCTTTACATTTTCTATATTTATTTTACAATTCACAGATTATGAGATTTTTCGAATATAGTCATCATTAATTGTCTGCGTAATTAAATAGACTAATTTTGATTTAAAAAGTTTCAAAAGTTATTGTTATATTCATTAAATTTACAAAAGAAAATATTTCTGAAAATTGTCTCGACATAATCAGAAAAGAACTAAAACTTAAAAGTAGATTAGGTAATTTATTAAAAAAAACTAGTTTCGTGCTATTTTTTCTTTTTTATTGTAAAGTAAAATTTGGTTGTATCTTTCCAATCTCTTGTTTGCATTAATTTTATGATTTCTAATAAATTTTGATAATTGACTTCCATTAATATATTGAGAACGACTCAAAAATGTTTTAATGAATGTGCTAAATTATAATAAATTTGGTAATGTCTGAATTGCAATGAAGTTGTTAACAATAGCTCAATGATGGCGCTTTGTATTGTCACACGATACATTGTGTTGCAGTTGAATTTTCCCTTCTCAAAGTACAGTTAATCCTACTTATCTAATTTAATTAATCAGAACCCTTCAGGATTTTCTCAAGTTAATTTTATTACTTATAAGTATTATTTATATTTTTTTAAATTTTACCACCTTAACTAAACTGAAATTTTTTAAATATCATTTATGATTTATTTATTTATTATATTAATCATTTAATTATTAGTCTATTATTTTTGTTAATCTCTCCTTACATTTATTTAAATAGTTCATAAAATGTATTTTGTATATATTTAAAAAAAATGTTGTAGTAAAATATTATACAAAAAATATAACTTTGTATTATTAATAAGATTATAATTATAAACTATATAATTAAATTTTTTTAACTATTCTAAATAATAATAAAAAAGTTATTCTTATCTTATTTTTATTATTAAATAAAGAATATATTGCATATTGTCAATATAAATTCGAAATTTTAACATTACATTAAAATTAATTTATACTGAAATTAATCTTTCTACTAGTGTGCGTATATATATATTTTTTAATAAATTAATAAAATAATTTTTAAATCTTTCATTAAATATTCTAATATATACTTTTTAGTACATACATAAATAAATAGATATTTATATATTTGTTTATACTATTGTGTGCATAAAATATAAAAAAAAATTTGAAATATATCTTTTAAAAATTAAAAATATATTTATTATGTATATTTTATGCATAAACAAATTTGATTGCGCACTGGTATTTATAATAATTGGATAAATGTCTTTGAAATTAAATTACTATTTAAAAAAAAGCGAATTAAAATATCTATTTCTTATTCACATTCATTTATTCACATAAAATATCTATTTTATGTGAATTTTTAGATACTATAATTTTGTAATTTGTTTAAAACTATAAATTAAAGTTATAAATTTGTAAGATTTTAAAATTTATTATAACATTTGTTTTCATTATTTATAAATTTATTAGCTCGTGTTACTTGTGCCAATAAAAAATTTGAATTGACAAATAGAAACAAAAAATATTAAAATAAATATATCTTATAATATTTTTTTGACAAAAAACAGATATTTAATTTTATTTAAACATTTTCGAATTTGAATCAACATGTTATAACACTGACGAACATAGTTAATATTATCATCTGTAATTTAAAAATAATTTGATACGATTAATTTTTATATCAGTAAATTTATTTAAAACAATTTTATAATAGATACAGTTCATTTTTAAGAGATAATATTTTATTATTTCTTATGTCATGTTAAGTATTAGATTTTTAGTTTAATTATTTCTATAATTAAAATAATAAATTATATTAATTTTTAATGTTATTTAACTTACTCTATTGTAAAATATAATACTAAAAAAGTCAGTTCTTAATTAAGCTAAAATGAAAGTTACTACTATAATAATAATTATTATTATTACTATTGTTATTTTCATTTTTAAAAGTTCTATTTTATATTTATTTCAGCACTAATTTACCACTTCCAAATATTACAATGGATCAGTCAGTTCCAACGATAAATAGTGAGTAATAACATTAAATTAATATATTCGAATTGAAAATACTTAATTATTTCAGATTCATAAAAAGTTAAAACTTATATTACATCATTATAATTAATTAAGTATTTAATTTCTTTACAAGCAATTGTTTTATTGAATTTCACTCTCTTTAATTACAATTACTTCTTTTGTATACAGTTAATGTTGTGAAAAAATGTTATTAAGGCAATATTTATATTCCTATTCACTTTCTTAATTTATTTTTAAACTGAATTTGTTATTAATTTGAGTAGAGAATTTGTTAAAATTTTCTATTTGTATTATATAAATTTTTATTGTAATAAAGCCAATTATAGCATTTATAATTTTTTTCAACATAAAAATAAATTATATTACAATTTATTAAAATTTATTTATATGTATTTTAATTATGACAAATTATAAAAAATGATTTTACTAACTAAAATTTCATATTTATATTAGTATATTATATGATATTATTCATCAGTAATACATATTCATCAGTATAATTGGTATAGAACCAAAAATTATTTAACATTATTTATTTATAATTTTTATATATAATTTATTATTAATCTATTACGTAAAACTAGCTTAAATAAATAATTCTCTTGTAACAATGTAGATTTTAAAGTGCACTGGATCTATTTCATGATTTACTGTATGTTTTATTTATATTTTGGTTTAATTCATACTTTTAAAACAATAATAAGTAATAAATTTATTCTGTTTCAAATTATATAATACTTAATACTGTTTAATTTGATAATTCAAATTTCTAGTAAAATTGGCTTTTGAGTGAGTATATAATAAAATTTCAGATTATTATAAGGCAAAAACTGATATAGTGTTAGAAATTCTTATAGCAAAGTAAGAAAATATGTACTTCGCAAATATAAAATAGTTAAATATAACAGTTAAAACTGTATTATTAGAAAAATATAGAACTGTTAAAATTGGAGTTTTTTCAATAATATATTCTATTAATAATTAACAATATTATAGCAATAATGTTATACCTTAAAAAAATATATTGAATAATTGTATTTTAATAATCAAATAAAATTTCTTTTGTTATAACTTAGAAAATATTGTATCACTTATGACTTAATTTGTTTAAATCAATATATATTTACATATATTTTTATTTTAACTTTATCATCTAAAACTTAGAAAACATTATAAATCGTTCATCTCTACTAGTGCTATTGTTTATTATAATGTTATTTATTATTTATTTTTATAATTGATTATTTTATTATGAATAGAAATACAGAATTAGGGTTGAAAATATCTGAAATTTTACAATTAATGTAATTGTACTTATATATAATCTATAAATCTAAAGACCTACACCCTAAATTTTTTCAGAAATATTATGGATGCATTTATTTAATATTTTGATTGATACATTTCATTGTAAATTACTAAAAATTTGCTCAACGTCTTAAAAGTTCTTATGAAGTCAACTAGAACTTGAATATACTTGTTATTAAGCAATAAATTTACTATTTATTATTTTATTATTTATTTTTTTCATCTGCATTAACGAAAAATCGATGGAAGGCCACTTAATAAGTTAAATAATGAATTAAATTGATGTTTTGTATTTACTTATTGTTGATACTTTAATATAAATATAATTTTTATAATTATTTGTACCAACGATTTTTTAAATTAATTGCTTTAGATAATAACTTTAGAACTATTGATTATAGTGAATCATCTTATTTAGTAATTAGATTTGAGTAATCAGTAAGTAGTAAATGATCGAAAAAAAAATTTATAATTCTTCCTCAGATCCTCTAGGAAATGAAACAACACAATCCGATATATAGTCAGAAAGCAAGCTTAAATATTTTGGCTTAAGCGTTTTATTCGACAAGTTTGCTAGTTTAATAAACTTTATTATATTTATTATTGATTCTGTATTATATATTATTAACAATAATAAATATTCTATTCTACTCGTATATAATCTTTTCATTTTATTACAATCAGATAAATTAATATTAAAAAAATTTCTTTTTGAAATGCTATCACAAACAATTATCAAACAGAAGAAATAATTACTATAATTGTATAGAAAATTAATTTATCATACAAGTTATCCAGAGGAAGAGAGTAGAATGATCTTAAATTTCACAACATTCCCATAATTTTACAAGATATAAGCACGAGTGTTAATAAATAAATATTCAGAAGAAACTGTTAAGTGTTCAATTGTTGAATGTGCAAGATAAAAATCGTATGTAATAATATTTGACATGATCTATTTTTATTTAAAAAATTTTCATTTTTATTCTATTATTTTTACTCTTGATATCAGAATATCTTAAATAAAATATCTTAAATTAAACATTTAACATGAAAATGTTTAATTTCTATATTATATGACACAGGGTATTATGATATTAATTTCAAGAATAGTAAATACGAATGAATTGTATTACTAACAGTTTATTTTGCTCGCATACTTTAACATAATATAATTTAAAGGGTTTATAAATTAATTTTTATTAAAAATAAAATAATAAATATTAGGATAACTCTTTCATGTGTCATCCAATTCAAGGGTATATTGTATGAAATCTCGTACAATTAGATTAGAAATAAGTTTAATATGTAAATACATACAAATAATTTATATGTTTTTATATAATGTATAAATTCAAACAAATAATTACATTTCTGGAATAAGATATATTATATTACATTATACTAAGGAAAATAAACTTTTATAATATTTTTATGATTCAAATTAAAATATTTTAAAAATATTTCATATTTAAGTAATATGAATTAATAGAAATTTTAATGTGAACCGGTACAATAAATCTTGATGTTTGGTCTATTTTGCTTGCATATAAAATATATTTCAAAACATTATGATGAAAGTTATAAACTGTTTGAAAACGTGATTAATTTATTTATGGTTATATATATTATAAAAAAAATCATTTTCACCTTGTTTATTTTTTTAGATTCACATTATATAATATAAGTGTCTAAAAATAGAGTACCGGGCTAGGAGGGTCAAATATCTAGAGTTAGGTGTAAACTCCCAGATGGTGGAAGGGAGGATTGTGGGCAAGTGGACAGAATAGTGCATGTATTCAACAATAAATAGATTTGGTATTTGTTTTAGTTTATTGCGATAATTGCATTAGTTGGATTATAATGATTTTTAGTTTATGCTTGAATGCCTTCGTTTCTTGAGTTTTGTATTGCTATTGCCACAGAGCTGTAATGTGCGTTGCATGTACAGGTAGAAGGGCGTAGCCTTCTGGTCCTCTATATGTAATGCATTTGGTGGTGGTGTTATACACGTAGAAGAACAAGGTCGTAAACCCCCGTGCTTCCTTGTGCAGTGGAACGTGCCAGTAGCTTGAATTTGCCTTGGTATTGTCTTATTGCTTACGTTGAAGGCTCTGCAGGTGCGCTTTTGGTGGCACTTCATCTTAGTCTGCAGATATTGCTGCGTACGGCGCCTC